AGCGCTGTGCAAGCAATCATATTGAAATGGAAGGAGTATCAGACCACTGCAAATCTACCAAGACCCGGCCGTCCCCGGCGGGGAGGGGGGAATCTCATTGGATCTTAAAGGAAAGTTAAACACAAGTTGGTTGTACCTGTTGAGTTGATAGATTGACCTTCAGGTGAATTTTCTGGGATGTCCACTCCTGTGGAGATGAGCAGCTGTCTCAAATGTTTTCCACTTGTAAATAATCTTCTTGTCTGTAGATTGATGGATCTCCAAATAGATTGGAAATGACCTTTGACCTTTTCCAGATTGACAGACGGCAACAATTGCTTTCTTTTTTTTAGGTCATTGCTGATGTTTTACAACCCAGTTATTGCGTTAACATTCACCTGGACTTAAACTGAACAAAAATAGGAACGCAGCACTTTTGTTTTTGCTCCCATTTTTCATGAACTGAACTCCAAAGATCATTTTTCCATGTACACAATAGGCCTTTTCCTCAATTATAGTTCACAGATTTGCGTAAATCTGTGTTAGTGAGCGCTTCTCCTTTGCCGAGATAATCCATCCATGCAGTCAGCATTGCACACTTCCTCAAAACTTGCAACGTCTGTGGCATTGCGCTGTGTGATAGAACTGCACGTTTTAGAGTGGCCTTTTATTGTGGTCAGCCTAATGTACATCTATGCAGTCACCGTGCTGTCTAATCAGCATGGTGACATATGACACCTGTGAGGTGGATGGATTATCTCGGCAGAGGAGAAGTGCTCACTCACACAGATTTGCACACATTTGTGAGCGAAGTTTGAGAGAAAACAGCCGTTTATGTACGTAGAAAAAGTCTTTGATCTTTGAGTTCTGCTCATGAAATATAGGAGCAAGAAGAAAAGTGTTGCATTCATATTCGTCAGTGTAGTTTTTCCACTCATAACTTTTCCGTTTTGTTTCAGCTGAATAACTAACAGCAGTGTGGAATCTTCTGTGCTAGACTTGATGTTGGATAAGAATCATTATAGAACCGGATAAAGACCAGATCTGAATTTTTATGTGTTTGAAACCTAAAAACTGAAAGAGGGTGGATTTTACTTTTACCAGGAGTGGGTGTTTTTATTTCAGACTAAAACCATCTGTTTGATGACTAAGTGAATTAAGAAGCATTTCCATATGCACATTATACATGTAGGTGGTTCAATCTCTAACTGGACGATAACGAGTTGCAGTACTTACTGTATCCACTTGGAGGCACTGTGGAATCACAAACAGAACATTACCTTTCCTCCTTGTGATAAAAGTTCATTACATCTCTGATAACTTTACCAGGAAGTTAAACTGATTACATTTTACTCCAAGAGCTCTAACAGGCCCAGAGAAAAAAAGATGGTAGGAAATTAGGAGTCTTTTGTGCAAATAAAATAAAATAAATAATCTCTACTTCATCAGGCGGTTGAGGTGAGCTGCTCTGGGAAGCTCAGTCCTCACCTCCTTCTACGGGTGAGCAGTGGAGAGCATCCTGTGCTCCATTATCAACGTGTGGCATGGAGGCTGCACAGCTGCAAAAAAAAAAAAAAAAAAGTGGTGAAGGCTGCACAGAAGTCTGTTGGAGTCCGCCTCACCACCATCACAGACAGCTACACCTCCAGATGCAGGAAGAGGGCCACCTGCATCATGAAGGACCCCACTCACCCAGCACACACACTTTTTGCCCCCCCCCACTCCCCTCAGGAAGGAGATTAAGGAGCATTAAGTGTAGAACCACTAGACTGAGGAACAGCTTCTACCCTGAAGTGGTTAGACTCGTAAATCCCGAACCAGGAAAACCACAGTGAGAATAAAAATTGCTGTAATGCCACTTTAATTGCTGATATGACATCATATGTTGTAGCATAGCTAGCATGCTTTATAAAAACATATTTACAATATACTTTAGGAATATGACATATTCTGTAAATTGTCTCATGTGACATTATATTATACACGTTAGCTTAACATGTACATGTTAGCAGAAATATGCAAAACAAACTTATGTATTTGTGTTTTTAAGTCTTGAAGGTTCAGTCTAGTGCTGGAAAGGATCGTCAATGTAAGAAGAAAAAAAAATCACTAATGCCACTCTGATTGGTGACATGTGACTTATCTGCGCTGCTGATTATCCATGCTGCTGATCACATGCTGCTGATTATCTCATACTGCTGATCTTTTGTCTTTAAGCTGCTATACTCATACCCATCTGCTCACTACAAGCTCATGTTCGGGCTGCTGTTTAATATTCTGTATTATTTGCATTATTATTGTTTAGCATATATCTTAGATCCTTGTGTACTGTTTCTTTTTATACTTTATATTTTTGCTATTTTTTGGGTGTAAGTGGGACTTTGAGTACACAATTTAATTCCACCTCGTGTACCACATGTGATGCGAATGACAATAAAGAACCTCGAACCTTAAAAGTAGAAATTATGCTTATACACACATACATACACATTTGTGCATATACATAATTCTTGTGTGAAACACAAATGTGTGCAAATATTTCAGTTTTAACTAGTGGGACAACGGAACTGCTTTATTTTGTCCTTCAAAATAAAAGACCCATTCCTTTGAAATTTGAAAGTCTAGTTTCTTAAAGCAGAGAGATCAATGGTTTTTCAGATTAAATGTCTAAACCCCCTAGTTTTCCATTTTTTCATCCGATTCCTCTCATCTGAGGTCCGTGGGCTCTGGTAAATCTGATGACTCTGGTTGTGGAAGTAACATGTCCAAGAGGTAAACCCAGACCTCCTCTCTCCAGACACCCTCTCCAGCTCCTTCTGGATGATCCCAAGCTGTTCCCAGACCAGAGGAGACACCCAGAGATCCAAAGATGTTTAGATCCTCAGAACATGTGGGCTGATGAGTCAAACTCCAGTAACCCCTTTAACAGGAGTAAAGATCGGATCCACTGTTCTATGACTATGGCAAATCTCCAATTTGACAAACAAATGTGGAAATAAATCACGAAATTGAATTAAAATGTCAAGGAAATGTTTTTTTTAATCAGCATAGAACAAGTTGACAATGAGTTGAGAGCACCACAGATGCCATCTTTGTTTTGAAGATGCTGATGGAGAAGTACAGAGAGGGTCAGAAAGAACTCCATTGTGTCTTTGCGGATTCAGGAAAACATCTGACAGGGTGCCGAGGGAGGAGGTGTGGTATTCAATGGGGAAATCTGGAGTGGCAGAGAAGTGTGTTAGACTGGTACAGGACATGTATGAGGACAGCAGGACAGTGGTGAGATGTCAGTCAAAGTTCCTTTATTTGTCATGCGCACCATATGTGGTACATGAGGTGGAACAAAATCGTGTACACAGGGTCACAGTTACGTCCAACAAAAGTATAAATTGTAAAGAAAAACAGTAACAAGGTCTAAGATATGAACTAAGAAAAACATTCAACTAAAAATACGCTAAGCACTAGTAGGACTGTACATGTAGATACTAGAGTAGATGTGCTGCAGGAGTGACAGATAGCTTCAAGGTGGAGGTGGGAGTGCATCAAGGATCAGTTCTAAGCCCCTTCTTGTTTGCTCTGGTGATAGACCGACTAACAGATGAGGTCAGGCAGGAATCCCCTAGGACTATGATGTTTGCAGATGACATTGTGATCTGTGGTGAGAACATGGAACAGGTGGAAGAGAACTTGGAGAGGTGGAGGTATGCACTTGAAAGAAGAGGAATGAAAGTCAGCCGTAGTAAGACAGAGTACATGTGTGTGAATGAGAGAAAGGTCGGTGGAACAGAGAGGCTACAAGGAGCAGAGGTCACAAAGGTGCTTCAAGTACTTGGGGTCCACTGTCCAGGAAAATGGGGAGTGTGGTAAAGTAGTGACGTGACCCGACTTTGGAACAAGTGGAAGATAATAAATGGATGGATGGTAAAAAGGTGGAAAAGAGAGTCCAGACAGGATGGAGTGGATGGAGAAAATATTCGAGATTGATTTGTGACAAAGGGTGTCAGCAAAGGTTAAAGGAAAATTTTACAAGACAGTGGTGAGACCAGCTATGTTGTATGGTCTGGAGACAGAGACATGGACAAAAAGACTGGAGAAAAAAACTGGAAGTGGCAGAAATGAAGATGTTGAGGTTCTCCTTAGGAGTGACAAGGATGGATAAGGAGGCCAAGATGGGGTAGAGACAGGGCAGCCGATCTGGGACCAGAAAGTCGCGGCTCGACTCCCAGCCATTCCCACATGTCGTGGTGTCTCTGAGCAAGATAACAATTCATAATTACTCCCCGGGTGCTCAATAGCTGCCCACTGCTCCACCTGGGTGTATCCCAGGTGTGAGGCCAGACTGAGATAGTTTGGACATGTCCAGAGGAGGGACAGTGGGTATACTGGTAGAATGACCCCCGTGACCTGAAAAGGAAGAAGCGAGTAGAAAATGAATGGATGGATGTTAGAAATGCAGATGCCAAGAAAAATACAAAGAGATGTATGGATGCAGTTAGAGAGGACATGAAGGTAGTTGGAGTGAGGACAGAGGACAGAGATGGAGGAGGATGACTCGCTGTGGAGACACCTGAAGAGGGAACAGCTGGAAAGAAAAAAAAAAAGAAAAAACATGTTGAGTTTTAATAAATTAATTTTCTAAATATGCATCTCAGTAATAATTGAAGTAGAAAACTGAAAATTATAAAAATTCCTGCAGAAATTATGTATTTGACTGTATTTTTTTAATGTATTTATTCCTATTGGTTTTATTCTGAAAGGCCCATAACGGAAACGCGAATCATAATTTGGGAAATCGAATCCTGGATCGCGTGAGCGGCTCAGACAGAGAGAAGCGAGGGAGTCCGCGTGGAGGAGAGGAAGGACTGAGGAAGAGGGGGACAGAAGGAAGGACAGAGGAGGAAGGACAGAGCTGCTGCGCGCGCGGAGGAGAGCTCCTTCTTCTTCTTCTTCTTCTTCTTCTTTTCCACTTCGTGCGTCTCTTTTCTTTTGGACCCCAAATTGTTTGGATGGTGGTCCTGTCCTGCGCACGCGCGCACACGTGCGTGCTCAGGTGAACTCATCGCCGCCGTCCTTTGTGTTCGCGTGCACGGGTTCACGCGACGTGCGTGCTGAGCGCGCGCGTGCGCGCGGCGGATCGATGAGGATGGATTTAAAACCTGAAGTAAAAACTGGATTTAACACCACAGAAGAAGAAGGTCAGTTGAAATGACTTTTTGATTAAAGTCAGTTTAAATTCACGTTTTTATTTGTGTTCACATAATTATTAAATCTTTAAAGTTTATTTTATGTCAGTATTAATGCCCTCCCTTTAATTTAACATTAAATAAACTTCTTTATTCCACTATTTTTAGGCCAAACATGTTAAATTACTTAATTAACTCACTGATTAAGGCAAGTTTGTTTGATTTCATAAATGACATATTGATAATTATCTGCAGTTTCATAACATTTAGCTTTATTGTGACTTGTTTTTTTTATTTTTTATTTTTTTTCAATATTCACACTTTTGCACAAACATTTGTTTTTACATAATGCTGATGTTGGACAACCTTTTAAAATAACGCTGTCGTTTTTTTGATATTTTCGATGTATTTTCTGTAAAAATGAATGTCGATCTGATGAAAATATGAAAACTTGAGAAGTAAAAACTCTTTAACGTTAATTTTTCACTTCAAAAATGTATACGTTTTCATTTTTAAGTTGCTTTTTTTTTTTTTTTTTTTTTATTACTTGTTCTGAAATTAACCACAACATTAAGACCACTGACAGGTGAAGGTCAAAACTTTGATGATTTTTGTGAGAGGCAGCAGATGTGACACCAGAATGTCTCCACATTATAAAGACACAAAGCCTTCCATATTACGATTCTGCCACCACCGTGCATCATTGGATGAGCGGCTTTGGATGTTATCAGTCCATTAATTGGACGTTATTAGTTATCATCCCCATAGGTTGTGTTCAGACTGTTCCCTCCTAGGTTTAAAGTTACATTTTTTATCTGTGATAACATGCATCGCGGCTCGCGTGTAAAACTGGGAGTGCATTTTAGTCAGATTTATGTAACCCTTTTCCTAAGCCTAACCTTACACCTGACCCAGACCACTAACCCTAAACTTAACCCCCTTACCCTTGAGCCTTAACCTAACCCTGACCCTAAACCTAACCCCCAGACCCGTAAACGTAACCCCCTACACCCTTGACTCTCAACCTAACCACGTGGCTGTATTATCAGCTATAAGAATGTACCTTTAAACCTACTAGGAGGTAAAGGAGGGGCAGTCTGAATGCTACGTATGGGGATGATAACTAATAACTTCCGTTTAATGGATGATAGCATCTGAAGCGGGTGATTGGATGCTATTAGAAAGTGGATGGGCATTTTGTTTTCTCTACAAGTAACGATGAAGGTCAACACCTGGTTATCTTATAAACTAAGAGCGCAACGTTTGAACATCGGATCTAAAAAGTTGACCCTATCTGTCCATTTTTGGCCCTCTACCTGAATTGAGGTCATAGAGGCGCCTCCTGACAGCTTCCTCCTCCAGCTTTGAGCTTTGAGTTGTTCCCAGACCAGCTGTGAGATTTAGGTGTGCACCGATAAATCGGCGGCCCCGATTTCCTTAATTTTGGGAAATCGGAAATTGGCCGATACTTGCACGAGAAACCGATTTTTATTTTTTTTGCTTTAACAACAATTGTCTGAACTTCATTTATATTTCAGAGCACTACCTCATGGCCAGTTAAAACAAGTTTGTACTGTTTCCAGGATATTGTTCAAGGGTATGTTTTTCAATAAAATAAGATTGGAATATTGAAGGTGCATTGTGACCTTATTATAACACCTGACCGTGTCGCTTATAAAACAAAATCGGTATCGGCCCAAATCGGAATCGGCAGGTCAGGCTTTTTAGAAACCGGTGATCGGCCAGAAAACTGTAATCGGTGCACCCCTAGTGAAATTTGAGCCCTCCAGCAAGTCCTGCGTTTACCCTGAGGTCTGGACCCATTGGCACCTCTTTTACCGTCTTTGGATGGTGTCCAGGAGTTCTTGCCAATGATCTTGTTCCTTCTGACACTACCTACATCTTATAGGTGAGGGTTAGAACGTAGATCAGTTGGTGAATAGACACATTTTGCTTTCAGCTCAGATCTTCTTCATTAAGACACTGTGTCCCAAACCGCCTAGCCAGAGTTTCTTCAGTCTTATGTTTCAAATTTTCTTCTTCTTTCGGCTGCTCCCTTCCTCAGGGGTCGCCACAGCTAACTAACTCGCACGAAGACGTGGCAATTGTTTTTACACCGGATGCCCTTCCTGACGCAACCACAGAACCATCGAGCTACCACAGTCTTCTATGTGAAGCAGAGAGCTGCCATCTAGGGCACCTGGGGGAGCAGATGGTAAATGGTTAAGGACCTTGCTCAAGGGCCTAGAGTAGGGCAAATGAGGGCAGAGACAGATGTGAGATTACATCTTTTCCACCCATGTTTTTTGATGTTGTTGGTTCGGGGAGTTGAACCGGCGACCTTTTGATCACAGGCCCACCTTCTTTAACCTCTGTGCCACCACATGCCCATTTCTTCAGTTTCAAATTGTATCATCTCAAATTTAGACCTTTAAAAGTCCCAAATGTGTCAGAATTTTCCATTTTAGGTTTTAGCAGATATGTAGTTTTGTCTTGAATTTTTCAAGTCCAAGTCATGCCAGAAGGTGCTAAGCTTCGTCATGGCTGCTTCACACTCCGCTCTAAACCATTCCATTAACTGAACAGGACCACATCGTCTGCAAAGAGAAGAGATGCTTCACCAAACCATGTTCCTTCACCTCTCAGCTGCACTGAGAAATTCAGTTAGTAAAAGTTCTAGCCAGACAAAGATTGACCCTGTCATAGTCCAACACTCACTGGCAACAAGGTTCACTTAGGGAGCTTTCAACCCTGAGCTGAATGGTCTGTTGTAAAGGGACCAGAATTTGTTTTCACGAAACGTATGCACATTTGGGCAGGTATGAAAGCTCATCCAAAGTTTCATCTGCCTGAATACTTGGACACTGGTTTGCTCCGTATGAAATGGTAAATGGACTGTACTTATATAGAGCCTTTCTATCTTATTTCTAGAAACTCAAAGCACTTTACACTACAATCTGTGTCCTCATTTACCCATTCATATAGCACTCTACTAGATCGCTACAAAGCTAATTGAACAAATCATTCTAAAGCTTTAGATCACATTCATACACTGATGGGACACACATCAGTGGGTTCAGTGTCTTGCCCAGGGACAATTCGACATGTGACTGCTGTTGGATTCGAACCCCCAACTCTTGCATTGGAGGACGACTGCTCTAACCACTCAGCCACAGCCGCCAAACAGATGCAAACAGATGATCCAGCGAACCAAAAAGAGGAAGTGACATAGAAATTTGGTCACTAAAGTAAAAACAGAAACCCACGCACTGCATAAATTTGGTGCTGCTCAATTGTTTGTTTTTGTTGCCGACTTAAAGGGATGAATTTCCATTTTCAGTCCTGATGAGACAGTTTTTTTTCCTTCTTACTTATGTATTTTTCCTTCATGGTCAAGGCTCATTTGAGATGCTCCAAATGAGCAGCCGTTGGAAACTGTTGTCCAAGTAGTATGATTCACGGTCCTAAGTGCAGTGTGAAAGTGAACCAAACCAAATGAAGATGTGAAAATTTCCAGCATTCCCAGCCCAGTCAAAGTTTCCCCGACTTTCCAGGTGTGAAAGTGCATTTACTACCTGCAATGTCAACTAAACTCCTACTCTATACACATCTAGAATCTGAAATCTTATACGCCTAACAGGGGATCATGAAGGCCATGGTCTTAAGTCTTCTTAAAGTTAACAAAACACATGAGTGGTTGGACAAACTCCCATTCGCCCTCTTATCTTTGGCAGGGTGTAGTTCTGGTCCAGTATTTCACGACATGGGCGAAAACCACATTGATGCTCCTGAATCTGTCAACTTTCAGCTGTACTCATCTCTTAGGAATTCTCTTGCAGACTTTTCCATGGAAAGTGGCATCCTTGGGTAAAATGCACCATCTATCCCCCACCTATTTACGAAAAGGAAAGACCACAAACTCTGTCTACCAGATTAAAAACCTTGTAACTAACCTCCAATCAGTATCTTAAAAAACTTGGGGTGATTCTCACTCATCCCTTAAACTTAGCTTCTATTAAGATAACTCAACAATCAGAGACCTCAAATCCTGGTTCTTCTCCAAAAGATACGAATAAATCTGGTCAAAGCAGATGGCCGCTTGTCCTGATCCTGGTTCTGCTGGAGGTTCCTTCCTCATCAGGGTGTTTTTTCTTTCCACTGTTGCCTCTGTGCTTGCTTAGAATGGGAGACTGCGATGAAGTGAAAACTCAAAGCAATCTGTTGGCTCCTTAGGTAAATACCTTTATTAACTGTCTTTATATGTATGTGAATGTTTCTGTTCAGTGCCCTGAGACGAATTCTGTTGTGATTTGGCGCTATATAAATAAACTGAATTGAATTGAATTGGTTTGGGACACTGGTGAACGTCATCAATGATGGTGCTTATTTTCTGGGCAGGGAAATGTTGGTGAAATAAATTATAGTTACAACTCCTGTTCAGTGTGGTGAAAGAAATGTGTTTAGCTCTGCAGAAAATGTCAAATATCTGATTTTTTTTTTAGAAAATGAAGGCAAAAAAAAGATAAAAGTCAAATGAGCACTATTGAAATGGAAATTTGAAAACGACATCAAAACACAAGAAAAATATAAAAATTTGGGTACAATTCTGCAGAAAAATTAATCTGTAATAATAAAAAGAATCTTACGGTTTTTATTTAAAATATGTATGACTTCTGATCCTTCTGAGGGCATGTGTAGACAGATTGTGTTTCCAGGCCCCCTGAACCCTGAAACCAAACCGGAATGTCCTCACTTTGATGGTTGTGTAATGTGCTCATGCACACACACACACGCACGCACGCACACACACACACACACCAACACACACACACACACGGCTGTCCTTCAGCAGCCTCGAGATAAGAGTCG